TGTTGTTGTTGTGTTGTGTTGTTATTAGTTAATTATATATATATATATATATATATATATATGTGTGTGTAGTTATTATATATATATATATATTATATATATATATATATATATATATATATATACATGTATATATATATATACATATATTAGATATATATATATATATATATATAATATATACATATATATATATGTATTAGATATATATATATATAGATATAGATATATAGATCTATATATATATACAACTCACTATATAAATTGTATATTTGTTTATATGTTATAGAATATAACGGTGGGCTCGCTTGGTGATCCAACACAGTATTATTCTAGCTCAGCAATGGTCGTTTGATGTGGTGCAGGTGTGGCAACTGAGCAGAATGTGCAAACTCAACATATTATAAATAAATCGCAATGCACTCAATACAACATACGATCCTCGGTCTCCACGATCCCTACTCCTGCGGCTCTTACTACGCTCCTCTCTGTCTCCTCTATCTCGTGACCTCCTGCTGTGGTCTGACTTCTTCTCATCTCTTGATGCGCTCGCACGGCGTTCTGGTTTGTGTTCGGCTGTGCTCTCAGCTGTTTGTGACGGTGCTGCTGCAGCTACTGCACTAGGTGCGACGGCAGATGTCGGTGCATCGCTAACTGAAGTGCTTAAATTGGTTAAAAATGCCAAACGTGACGGGTGAATGGCTGGGGCTGCCGGAGTTTGACCTCCTGTGTCAGACATACTTGTATTGTTACGCTTGTACTTATGCTTGACGTTAATATGATATATACATGCGTAGATAATATGTGACTTCTCTGTTCACAGTTCACAAATGCATACACCTACCACCACATTGATACTCGATGGTGTAATAATATATAGTTAGTACATATGACCAGGAAGTGTGTAGAAGGCGCGCTGTATCACCGGCTTTTTTGTTATGCTCACCGAACGGTCCCCGTGCAACAGCTGCAACTCTGCCGACAGCGAGACTCACAAACTCCAAAAAAGTCGATAAAAATTATACAAATAAGAACTCTCCATACTTTGTCAACGTGCAAAAATTGGCTCCCTGACTTCAGATCGACCCAAATTTTGAAATTTCACCTGCTTCAAGAGACCGCCATTCCAAATTTTGGCCTTTCCCTTTCTGCTAAATTACAGAAGGTAAATTCCAATAGTGGACAATTATACCATCATTTCTTGAAGACGTATTTTGGCGGGTTTTCTCTTATCATTCATTTCTAAAAATATGCTATAAAATGTAAATGCAAGAGAAGTCAAGAGAATAGAGAATGTTTTTTAAAAACTCGTATGTAAATATATTCGATATTTATGTGCATATATTTGTCCATACTTTGTCCGCGTGGCCACAACTCCAACACTTGATTATGGAGAGCCCATAAAGTAGCACACACGTACATAATCAGGAACTCGACAGTTCAAATTGTAGCAAACCAAAGGGTTTTTGTCAATTATCGGCGAACGCTACTTAGTGCACCACACCAATTGAGTAGACGATAATGACCAGCTAATTGAGATTGATTTGCATGAACTAGCATTGTTCAGGATATAACGTCTACATTAGAGAAATTTCTGCTGATATATTATTTTGGTGCATGCGCATTTTGTGTATGTATGGCCCATTATCAGCGGGTGTATGGTTATCAACAAAGGCACATAGCCAAACTGGTACTTTTATAGTACTCCTCAAGCTATTCATTCGATCAATTAATAACAGAGGCTGTTTGAGTTCCTGGCAACTACGGATACTTAAAAAGAGCGAAACGAAATCACCGGCAATATTGACAATAAAAATGTAGTTTGACGTTGTTGTACTATCGTCCTCGATTGCATTGGGTCGCAGCCCTAAAAAATATTCTCGGAGTGATGAATATCTTCCCACCATCAATCTACTTATAAAAAAATCTTCATTTGAATGACCAGTATTTTCTCTACCGATTCTTTTTATAATTACATTTTTCTTTGTAAACCTCCATAGACGACTACGCCTAAATGGAACACATTCCGATACCACATCGAATAAGGAAAAGGCAAAGCTGTGCCATCATACACGTGATCTCTTCAAGTCGCACTTGCTGTGAGTGCAATCACATATGTTATAGCACAGGTTTCATATATCAATTCATAGATAAAGAAATATTCCTATTTAGTGTGCGCACAGACTGCAGCAGTGCAGCGTCGCTGGCACGTGCACGCCAATGCAGTGACTGCACAGAGATCATTTTGACAGAGAATTGTTTTTTTTGAAAAATTAGATACGAAAGTTCTGATGACTGGTGTCAGCCGGAATGTAAATATGACACCTCACACAAACTAAAGCATTTCTTAAATAAATAAAATATATATAAATATGTATGAGTATATGTATCTCTTTATTTGACTGTATCAGTATGTATTGCTATTGCTATGCAGTGCACCACTTATGATACATCGTTGATTGATTTGTGTATGTACGTACGGGAGGCTCAGTGCCACATGTATATTTGTGGGGTGTTGAGCAAATGAATTTTAATTAGCTGCTTCTAGATTTAGAGAGCTTGAGAAACAACTAGTAGAGTCTGAATCACAGTTTATTGTAAGTACAATCGACCGAAATCGCAAGCATGCAGAACCTTAAAAGTTTCTTCCAGTCGGCAGCAACTGTGCTCGCTCCTCCGATCGAGAATGACTATGATGAGTTCTACCAAGCGTGGTGTGCGATAAAAGATTACTATGGTGAAACTAAAATGGACAAGATTGCGGTGCAGAATTCTATGGTATGTATTCAAATTCACCAAACCGTTTCTCAACTACTTTATAATGAAGCCTTTAGCGTGAGATATGCGCACATTTATCGAAGACATGTATCATTTGGCTACTATTGTATGCTTATTACATATGCGGTGTTAATTTCCACCTTGAAAATACGGAATAAGAATATGAATTTGGCTAGAAGTAGGTGTATTTATGCATATATATATATATATATATATATATATATATATATATGTATATGTATATGTATATATATATGTATATATATATATACGTGTGTGTGGGGGGGGGGAGGGGGGTGTGTGCGTGTGTATGTATGTATGTATGTATGTATGTAT